AAGGGCCACCCATATGATCAGAGACTTGCATGGCAAGCCATGTGAGGTAAGGCTGAGGGACCTGGTACTCTTCAGCCTGAAGAAGAGAAGTCTGAAAAGGGACTTGGTAGCAGCTTACCACTACATCAGAGGCATACATCAAGGGCACAGTGAACAACCGTTCACCAGGGGACCCTTGGGGAAAACCAGGAGCAATGATCACAAACTCCTGGAAGACCGTTTCAGGCTTAACATTAGGAAAAACTTCTTCACAGCTAGGGTGTCCTGACCATGAAATAATCTCTTTCTAGAGGTGGTGCAGTCACCTACCCTGGAAATCTTCAAGAGGAGACTGGATGGACACCTGGCTAGAGTCACCTGACCTCAGTTGTCTATCCTGCTTGGTGCAGGGGGGCTGGACCCAATGATCTTCTGAGGTCCCTTCCAGCCTACATTCTATTAATCTATGAATAATCCCACATTTTGAGAGGCTAAACAAGACAGAATATTTTCTGGCATATGAGATGTGAGAGTCTTAATGATAAATTGAAAAAGCACTGAAGATTTGGGGAGGTAAAAGTGGATCCAGAAATACTTACTGCAAACAAAAGTCTTAATGCTGGTACATGTTCCCTATGACAAACCTGACCTGAATTAGTCAAGTTATTCAGTTTCATTGCTCTGAAACAATTTTAGACTTTAAAACATCCACTTTCTATGAATACTTGTTTTTGTTCAGTTGGTTGGCTTGCTGGCTTTTTTTTCTTCCTATTTTGTGTTTTTGTTGTTTGGGCATTAAGAGTATGGGGAACATAACCCAAAGTAGAATCTTATTCCTAACAGAGCAATGCCAAAATCAGAAAAAGCATTAACAACTTTAATAGGGAAGCAAAGGACTGAATTTGTCTTGGCTACAGAATTCTCTTCTGCCCTAGGGGTAGTCCCTCCAAGTTGGAAATGTTGCACTAGTTGAAATAGTGACACTCAGCATATTGTCAGTGCTGCATTTCTTCTGTTTAAGATTTAGGGTTTCATTCTCCATTACTATTTTTCATTTAATTAAGACAGTGCACTTGCATTCTGTGGAGTGCCGTGTGGGGTAGCTCAGTTGGTAGAGCCTCAGACTTAATCTGGGCATCCAGGGTTCAAGTTCTTGCCAAGGAGGTGGCTGTTGTGGCATGATCTGTTGAGTCCAGGCTTGCAGGAAACTTCTGTGGTCTATACTTCATCAAAAGGTCCTATCTTCTGAGTGGGAGTGGGGGAACAAACCTTTTGGCATGGACTGCGAGTGTTTTTGCTTTGCTTCGTAGCACGAGACATGGTCCTTTTCCTAGGTTTTTCTGAGCATATGTTAACCAATTCCTTCCCTGTCTTTGCACTCTGGTCACCCCTGCTTTTGCCTATGACATTTTGTAGAGGTGTGTTTGTTTCAGATTTTGCACCTTGTCCTTATAGTTGAGGGTTTGAAGTGGTGATTTTGGACATTCCTTCAGTTAATAAATGGCTACCAATGCACAGGATTGCACGTAATAATTCATGAAGCTCCTTTCCATTCCTCCATTTCTGTGGAATGTTATCAGCCTAATCCACCTGTTTAGGCCTGTCTCTCAAATTATTTCTGGGGAAAAAATTGTTGCCAGCATTAAAATTTGCAGTGTTTATCTGGTTCTCTCACCTTTTTCATCTCATCTTTATTCTACTATATTTCATTCTTTTTGTGTCTGCTTTTTTTCTTTTTACTCATGTTAGTTTTTCTTAATTGAGAAGTTAAAGAGTTGGGAGAATTTTAAAGCTGTTAGAGGTGTTGTGTGGCGTGTTTGTGAATAGCATGTAATTTGCAGAAGTAGAGGAGGCAGTAAAAGGTATTGGGCAGAAGCTTTGAGAAAAAGTGTGTAAGGGATTAACTATATTTTCTGTTTGAACACTCCTTACCTCAAGGGGTCATAGTTTGTGGTTGAAGCTTCTTGGTTTGTCCTAGTATAAACGATTCATTAGACCCCAGATCATTCACATTTGGCTGGTTTACAAACCTTTTAAATCATGGCAGGCTGCCGAATTAAGGATGAGCTATTTGGCTCTTTCCTGTGGCTTTTACCTTGAAGGCCATTGCTTCTCTGATAAGCTGGAACTCATCAGTAGTCCCACACAGCTGATTGGAGAAGTGGTGCTCTTTGAAGTACAGTAGGTGGAAAGTCCTGTGAGAACCTGATTTCTACTAATATATATAAAAAATATGTTCCCTCCAAGCCTTCTGAGACAGCAGTTCCAATGCAACTGTTTCTATTCTGAAAGCTGCCTCAAATTTAACTTGCTCTGAAGTGATGCTAAACTGAGCTTCCTCATTTATGAAAATTTCTTGAAGTGCCAAGGTAGAGGGAGAGATACTGGAATATCTTTGCAATATGAATGCCTTTCCCAGGTGATGTCCCTACAAGAAATATCAAATTGTCAAACGGGGCGGGGGGCAAATGCAAAGTTTCCACAGAGCATTATGTGCTGATGGTGCATATCTTATTTTATTTCAAGATGGCATTACCTAAATAATGTTTATTATTTATTTAGGGGCAAGACCACTTAAATCGTGCTAAGCCTGGCTGGCATAATACAAAGTCCTGGAAATATTAGATGACTGTTTTAATGATTTAATCTCTCTATCTCTCATGCAGGTTAGCTGAAGAATTGCATATGCCTTCCCTTCCAGAAATGATGTTTGGGGACAACATCCTAAGAATTGTGCATGATTATGGCTTTGGAATTGAGTTCAATGCAACAGATGCATTAAAATGTGTAAATAACTACCAAGGCATGATCAAAGTGGCTTGTGCAGAGGAGTGGCAAGAGAGCAGGTGAGCATTATTATCACAATAACTGGGAGCAGGTAGACCAGGCTGGCATCTTAGAAGTTAACTGGTTCAGAGAGACTTGAGCTGTCATAGCCAGCAACCTACTTCATCAGGTGCTATAAGCAATAATTGGGGATTCCTTCATGTCATGGGTGACTGGTGCCACCTTAGTTGGGGGGGCATGTGTTGTTGACCAGGAGTGGGGGGAAAGGGGGTCCCCCATGGCCGATCCTGCCGACTGGGGGGACCCTGAGGTCGCTGCCTGGGGTGAGGGTTCCCCCACGGCTGATCTCACTGCCCAGGGATGTGGGGATCCCTGCGGCCACTCACTGCAGCTGCTTCTGGGAGCGGCTGCAGCGATTGGGTGGTGATTGCACAGGGGGTGCTCCTACCTGCCCATCGTCTAAGCAGCGAGCATGGCCAGTCGTGGGGTTCATGTGCCCCCCTGTGGACCCCGTACGCATTGCCATTGATTCATGCAGTAGGAAGAGGCATGATGCCAGGGTTTTATAGCAGGGTGGAGAGGGGCTGGAAGCCAGGATTCTTAGTGCCATTTTGTATTTGGTTTCTCTCTCACTCATTCATTCAGATCTAAAGTCTTTTAACACTTCTGTAGCCTGGTATCCCCATCTAGAAAACTGGAGTAATTCATTATATGTGCTGCCTGCTTCTTACGAGTGTTGTGTCTTACTTCGCACCTATGGTATATCTACTAGTGCAGTGAAGTGTTAATGCAACTGTACTACTTCTGGTGCCCAAAGCTGCTAATTCAGAGTATGTCAGCATAGTATTTGTACTATGTTAGACATACCTATGCTTAATTTCTATCAAATAGTGTTAGTGGCAAAAAAATTCAGTGGCTTGGTTGTGCAAGATTGACCATTAATGTCCCCCAGTTGAAGTCAACTTAAAAATTTTAAATGCTGGAAGGTTTTTTGTTATATACTTATGTTGGTTCAGAGTTCTGTAGTCATCAAGTTGTTTTTGGTGCAAAGAAGATTTGGATTTATCCTAATGTCTAAGGAGAGCTGTACTATTGATTTTAATATCGGATATGTTCTGCTAACGCACTACGTCCTTCCTGTGTGAAAAGGTAGACTGAAACTCCCGAGTACAGTGTCTGAAAATGTCATGCTTGAGGGCATGCTGTCTTCATGCCTAGGAGCAGGACAGTTCTAGAAAACTCGGCAGTAGTCTTCAAAATCACTGTAGGGCCTGATGTCACAGTTTCTGCACAGGAAAAATAAGGACAATAGTGTGGGCACTATAGCATGCATCTTCCATGTGTGGTATTTTAATATTAATATTTATAACAGTGTAGTGTATTCTTTTCCCTTGTTGAGGACTGAAGCTGAACATACTAAGGAAGTTGTTAAACCATATGACTGGACTTACACAACGGACTACAAAGGAACATTACTAGGAGATGCTGTAAAATTAAAGGTGATTTCATTTTAAATGTTTATTGCATGGTACTTTGATAAACCGACTTGTATATTGTATATTGTTTTACTGAAAAGTAAAGCATATCTAGAATGTGAATTTGCATAGTTTCAAAGAGCTTCTGCTCTTGAAGGTTTACTGAGTGTTTCTAAAGTCTATTTTAGGTTTTTTGTTTTTTTTAGCAAAGAATGGTTCAAATAATCAAAATCTGTTAATAAAAATTGAGCGGCCACAAATCTTAAGAATTTGTTCCATGAACAAATATGGAGTTACCCATAATACTTAAGGACATCCCTCACTCCCTCCCAGAGCCTGGGACTCCCCAGTTACACTTAAGCTAATGGTCTCGCATGATTCGGTGATACCCTAACCCTGTGCAGTTTACTAGTTGGCTGTGAACCTAGATTTGGCTATTAGTGGTTCTGAGTTTGCGTACAGTGAAAATTGTTCTCATGGCTTTTCTGTCACAACCCCTCCCTATTATGTTATAACCAATTTAAATGAACCCTGAATTTTCTGGTGCCTTTTTGACTTTAAACAGTCGTCCCCCTGTAGACAGATAATTCTGTTTAATCCACTAAGATTATTATAAAACACTTGCGACATTTTGTAGTATCTGTGATTGGCTCAGTGTCTCTGAATCTGATACCTTTTGAAAGGTAGAGGCGGCTTCAAATGTGCATGTAGAGCAGAACATAGAAAAAGATAAGACACCCAAAATTTCAGTGAAATTAAAAGGAAGGAACAGGCTTTCATTAGATCTGGATAATGTCCTGGAATTTGAGGCAGAGCTATGTTAGTTACAACCTTATTTATACAAGAAGTCTTCAGAAATATATGGTAGTAGACTTGACATTTCCCCACTGTTTTGAAATCTAGAACACAGGCAAAACTGGTCACAGTTGTTATTTTAAAATTAAGTTCAGCAAAACTTGCATTCAGCCTGCCCCAGTCAGCCTGATGACAGCATGTGAGACATTGAAACAGAGTTTCCTGCTCAGTTACATATTTCTTCTTGGAATGTTTTAACTTTTGTTGTGAGAAGCTTGAATGGGGGTAGTCTTTGACTGCATCATATAAATTAAAGATTATTTACTCTAGGGCAAGGGTGTCAAACATAATGCCTGTGAAGCCAATCTGTCTAGTCCGGCAAGGCCACTGAAAATTGGGGGCATGGCCAGGGTCATGTCCTCTGCTGCAAAATCTGGGTCCCTTGGGCCTGACAAACATGGCAATCAGTGGCAGGACAGTGAGTGAGAGCTGACACAGGGCTGCAGCAGTAGTGACAGACTGTCTCCCTGGCTGACAGCTCCCACTGTGTTCCTCATGCTGGAGCTGGAGCGAGGCCTATTGCTGCAGCAGATGGAGCTGCAGCTCTGGCTCCTACATGGGGCATGTAGTGGGCGATGGAGCTCACCAGCATGCCCCAGGTCAGAGTCCAAGCTGCTGCTGTCTCTGCTGCGTGGTCCAGGTCAGAGCTGGAGCTGCCACTGCTGCTGTTTCTGCATGCCCCAGACTGAATCCGGCTCTTAAGGAGCCCCATGGTCCAGACCCGGCCTGAAGTACAAGGTGAGTTTGACAACCCTGCTGTAGGGGATTGGAGAATGAAGGGTTTCCAGCAGAAGACAAGCTGCAGTCTTTTAACATCTCCTTGATATCCTAACTTGGTTTTTTAGGTGGTTCCTACAACAGACCATATAGACACAGAGAAATTGAAAGCGAGGGAACAGATAATGTTTTTCGAAGAAGTTCTCCTCTTTGAAGATGAGCTTCATGATCATGGAGTTTCAAGTCTGAGTGTAAAAATAGTGAGTTGAATTACTTCCCATTTATATAACCCCACAAATAACACTGCTTTCAAGGTAAAGTTGAAGTTAAAAGCGCAAAATGCACTGACTAAAATTTTAAAATTCTTTCAGTTTAAGTAATGAAGTTGACATTAGCACCATAAGTAAGAGACACATCCCCTTTAGTCCTACCTTGATGAAGGATTTCTCTAACCCGTAAGACCTCTGCTGTTTTGCTATGTCTTTTCTAGAAGATATAGCTTGTGCTACAGAAGAGGGGGGTCTTTTTCTGCTCTTTGAATACGTAAGTGTAGTAGAAGCGTGAAATATTAACACCAATATTCCAACGTTCATTTCTTTGGTAGGAGATCGTGGAATCCCCTTAAATTACCATATTTCCTTGCATACACACAGCTGCAAATAAGACACACACCTTGTTTTTGGAAGGCAGAACATAGAGAAAAAGAGTTTTTTCCAGAGTCATGGCCAACTGTATGACGTGGATTTAGTCCTCCTGGAAACATATTTGTCCAGGAAGTGTGGCATCCCAGAAAACAGTCTTGATGAGGCAACAGGAACTTCTTGGTATGGCAGGACAGCAACAAGGCTAGGCTCCAGACCCTTGCAAGGTCAGTAGGAAGGCTGTTACTTCATTACTGTAATAGTTCTTTATATAAGTTCCTGTAAATAAATGCTGTTTCCATACTACGCGCCTCATCAAGGTAATGCTGACTGCATGCAGCAGTTTACTTGCCCTGAGCTTGCTCAGTTGCTCCTTTAGATGCAAGCTGTGTTGATCAGCCAATAGCTACTGCAGATTGTTTAGCAGCTGTGAAAGGAGTATGCCTGGACTCTGCCCCTTCTGCTTGCTGGGCCCCAAAGAAGTGGCAGGCATTAAAGTACAGCACTGCCATGCTTCTGTTCCTGCTTGTAAAGAAAAAATAACTTTCTCATTTAAAATACACAACCTAATTCTGAAGGGCTAATTTGAGGATGGGGTGGGGGAAAGATGCATGAGGTATGCAAGTAAATACAGTAATACTATGGGATTTTTCTCTTTTTGGTGCAGGCATGAGGCCTGGCTAATATGCTGACCTGTATTACAAACTTAATGGCTGCTCAGGATGTCTAGTGCCCAGCTAGCTAATATATCTTCTCTTTGTCCATGCTTCAGCCTAAATTTTAGATTCTAGGATGGAAAGTTTTTGGTATTTGCTTTTAAAAACAACATTGTAGAAAAAATAGCTCAAATTCAGATATTTTAATCTCTGATCTAAATATTTAAATATATCATGTTGGCTTCACAGTAAAATATCATAATGTGTCATGCACTATCTTGTTTTTTGCAGAGAGTCATGCCTTCCAGCTTCTTTGTGTTGTTGAGGTTTTTCTTGCGAGTTGACGGTGTGCTTATCAGGATGAATGATACAAGGCTGTATCATGAGGTAGATGTTCATGTCTTACCTGTTTTTCATGTTTCACTTGGGAGGAAGCAGCTTTCACTGTTACTTCCTGTCAGATGAACTGCGCAAGTTGAAACAGTTCAGCACTCATGCTTGAACGAATAGGAGGTGGCTGAACTGTACATCCAAGTTCATTAGATTAGATGGATCTATTATGGAAGAGCCTAACTACGGCACCCTTTCCTCTCCCTGTTCTGAAGTACTCATAATCTCAACAGACAGGTCACAGGGCAAGGAAAAGGAGGAATTGCACATGGAGTGAATAGTGCAACACTGTTCTTTCTATTATTTTCTTCCAGCCTCCAACTCCCAACAACATTCACACACCTTTTTTTTTTTTTTTTTTTTTCCCCCCCCCCACCCCCCACAAAATTCCCCCCCCTTTTTTTTTTTTTTTTATTTGCCTCATATTTTCCTATTTCAGAGAAGGGAGTGAGTTTTAGGGGCTTGCATGTAGAACTGAGCCAGAGTTCCCAGCTCTCAGTACTTTGTGTGGTGACTTTTGGGGAATTCATTTACCTTTTGCTTCAGTTTCTGATATCTAACGTATCTGAT